GGCGGCGCCCGCGCCCCGCGCCCCGCGCCCGGAGCGCTCGGCCTCCCCGCGGGCCCCACAAGTTGGCCGCCTCCTTCTCTAAAGTTTTCTCCCGCCCAATTTCTGCACAGCCGATCGCCTCACAGTCCTAGTTTCCGTCCCCAGCTGGGCTCACGTTGGAGTATCCCGAAAGCCGGTCGGTGCCAACTACCCCGCCCCGTGACGCCTCCTCCTGCGCCGGCCTCCAGCAGCCCTGGCGTGCAGAGAGCGGGTAGGGGGCGCGTGGAGACCCCTGCGGCGCCCCTGCCACCCACTGGCCACCGCAGCTCTCTCTAGGGGTCCCCCGCCAGCCAGGAGAGTGCACTCCGGAGTCTCTCCCTGGAATAAGGACGGGGAGGGACTTGCGCAGGGGACTGAAGCCTTCTGCCATCAGCTAACAGCCCTGGCCAAAAATAACCCTGGAAAGGCAAGCTGAGAATTGTCATCTTCTGCCAGCGGTATAATTGGAGGCCCGGCGCTGGGTGTGGTTCTGTGCGTGTGTCCACACACCCACCACGACCATTTGTTGCAGGGAATCACTCACTGTCAGGCCTTTCCATCCCGGGACCCACCGCAGCCGGCAGGCCCCTTTCCCAGACTCTCTGGAGAAGGTGGAATACTTGTGAAACATTTGCTTGCTTGCTTGCTTGCTTGTTGTGGGGGTTTCAACAGCAGCAAAGTGGGCACGCATTGTCTTATTGTTGACCTCATATCTTCTGCCCAGCTCCTGAAAACCGCATCTATCTAAATGTCATGAACTCATCTCTGGATTAATCATTTTAATGCAGAAAAGGCTAAAGTTCTTTGTAGTGCCCTACCAAGAATGAATGATCAAAACCAAATCAAACAAGGACCGTCCCAGGTGCTGCACTATGGTGACACTCTCCCGCGTCCTCCTGCATGCATCCTGCTGCCCTGTAGATGGCTGTCTTCTGCCTTCTCCTCTACAAGACCAAAACTAAGGTAATCTCCACAGAAGTAAAAGAGGAAGGGTTCAAAACAAAATCCAAAGAGGGAAAAAACTTATTGTTGCCTGTGTCTATCACCCGTCCACCACCTTTGCACTCCCTGCCCTGAAAGCTGCCACTCTGCCTTCCCAAACACTGTCCACTTTCTGAGTACAGTTGCCCTGCGGCAGGATCATAAAACGTGCGGTCATAGTAAGACAGCTGTGAATATAACTCACCCTTTAGCTCATGACTTTACTGTTTTTTTGGTTTTTTTTTTAGACCGTGAAAACAGTCAAAAGAAGTAGGAATGATGTTCCTACCAGCCACATTTCACAGGTAAAAGAAGACTTTTATAATGCTAGAAAGTAGCCAAGATAGCACTTGCAGGCAGTACAAGTTTTCATATTGTCTCTCCTTTTTTCATGCAGGTAATGCAAGTACAATAGGGAAACCACTGAAGGTCTCGAATGCAAGCTGCCAGGACTGTTTAGCCATTCTCTTCAACAGTAAAGAATGTCTGGGAGGGGGGCGATTAAAAGGTTCAAAGTTTGTTACACAAGAGGAATGTGTTTTTTGAGATCTAGTGCACAACATAATGGCTATAATCATATTTCAAAATTTCTAAATCAGTAATTTCAAGTATTCTCACCACAAAAAGGGTGTCTGAGGTGATAGGTATGTTAATTAGCTTGACTTAACCATACTGCACTGTAGGTGTATATTGAAGCATCACACTATATCTTAAATACATCAGTTTCAATTTATCAATTATAATTTTTTTAAAACTTTTGGGCAGCTGTTTGCCTTCCCTTGCTCCTTCCTAGAGTCTAAATTGTAAAGTTCTCAACTTACTCTGGCGTGCTTTAGAGCGTCTTGGCCTATCACCAAATAGGCTGAACTGTGCTCTGAGCACTTCCCTGTGCTGCAGGATTTTAAGATCACTTTCTAATGACATTTCATTTTCTGAAGTAGGCAGTGTCATTCCCAGAATAATGAATGTGGTAAGTCCTCTGCCCCAGTAAAGACAAAGGCATGGGCCAGTGAGAAAGTTCAGCAGACTAAGCGCAGGGAGCGGGGTTCGATCCCAAGCACCACACTCACACCAGCCCCACCCCCCAGGCCTGCTGAGCAGCTACCTAGATGGGGTGATGGCGCACACCTGTAATCCCAGTACTGGGAAGGCTTTAAACAGGAGGATCACGATGAGTCCAAGCTGCTTAGCAAGACCCTAAAATGTATTTTGGTACAATTGTACCAAATACATTTTAAAAAATTTAAAAAAGACAAAGGCTTAAGTCCTGTGCCTCAGAGAGCCCAAAACCCTTCAGGATTCCATCTCGATTTAGCTTACTTCCCAGTCTCCCAATATCACCACTGCTCTCTCCTATGATAGCCCAGGCTTTGCCACAGTCCTGGGAAGAAGCCATCCATCAAGATGTGGACAATGAGGACTAGATTTCACTCTCTCCCCACCCGGCAGGAAATCCTCTCCCTTTGGGGCTAATTTTGAAATGCTTAATTACTCTAATCAGTCCAGCTTGAGGTGAGTTGCCCAATCAGACTTCCGAACCTCAAGGTGAAAAGATACAGTTTCCTTAAAGTCTGTTTTGTTGGGGACCTGCCCTGTTAGCTCAGGTGTTAGTTCCAGCTGAAACAAAGCAGTCAGGCTCGGGATGTTGTGGTTCGATGGCCTCATCCTCAGGCCAAACCAGACCTGCCACCTGTAGTGGACCACAGCTGCTGATCAACTTGTTACATCCAGCTGAATTGAACTAACGCGATGCTGGCATTGAGGGCCACCTGAGGATTGCTACCAACAACACAAGAGGCAGAGCTGGAGAGGCTGTTAGGGAGGCTGCTTGGAGAAGCTGTCGGGAGCTGCTGGTTCTCTTGGGCTGTTCTTCTGGAGGACCTTGTCATGCTGGATTTCGTAATGCACTTGGCTGTTCTTGTCGGAGGAGGAGCTTGAGCCCTTCATTGTTGCTGAGAATGGCTACAGTTCATTTTGGGGGAGCTCTGGTCCTCATCTTGAGCATCGCTGCCTGACTCTGGAGGGGGAGAAAGTGCACAGCTCAGCCTTGTGGAGAAGCTTGCCACATTGGCTTTCCTAATGGGAACCCAGTTTTCCTCATTGCTGGAGGAGCCCGGGACCTCACTCTTGCTGAGGATGGCTGTGGTGCCTTTGGGAGAGCTCTGGTGCTTACCTTGAGCACTGCTTCCTGGCTCCAGTTCAGATCCCTCAGCCTGCTGGCTAGACCTTTATCCTGCTGGCATACATTTCCTAGCTCTCACCACTGACCTTTGGGCCTTTCCAGCACAGATCCATGAAGTGGGCCTGCATGAGACATTGTCGTGGAGTCTACGCCACCATTTGGACTTGTGAGAATCATTGTTATGAGCTCTAGGTTTTCAGCTAGACTTATGCAGGATATTAGGATCCAGGCCCTCAGCTGGAGCCACTGATCTTTAATGTAGGGACAGATTTCCTGCACTTTTTGTATAAAATTCTTTGGGTGGTTATAAAATAATCTTATAAAATATGTTCTATATGGTACTGTTCACCTTGCAAAACCCCAAACCATGACAGTACCATTCCCCAAAGTAAGGAGAGGTGGGTGACCAAATAATAATTATCCACTACACACTTGAAATTCTCCTAGCAAGACTTTCAAAAACTCTTTTCTATGAACTCACATAGCACTTTGCCTCATCCATAAGGAATGTTTCACAAATCAATATTCATTCATACTTAGGCATGTTCATACATGGTTTTTCTCCTCTACCTTGGAATAATTCCATAACCTTTCCTAATCTCAATGTACTTGATGTGGAACAGAGATTATTATAATCCCTTTCCATAAATTGCTGAGAAGAGTGAAGTACTTGGTATAATGCCTACTAAATAGGCATTCAATTAATGTTAGTTGTTCGTATGCTTGTCATCAAGTTTATATTTATTATTAGCATTAGTTCTCTGTGTAGCAATAACAGCAGTTTATATCTCTGTAGAACATTAAAGAACCTAACAGGTCTTTGGGTATTGATAATATTTGATGAAAACTGATTAAACAAGAGCCGGCCAGATAGCTCAGTGGACTAGAGCGCCTCCTTAGGCAAAGTGCAGCATCCGGGTTTCAATCCCTAGCATGCTGGTATTGACCCACCCCCAGGGTGTGCTGAGATGGCAATTGGGACTGGGCGTGGTGGCGTGCACCTAAAATCCCACCACTTGGGAGACTAAAAACAGGAGGATCACTATGAGTCTGGTCTACATAGTGAGACCCTGTAGTCTGTGTACTAAATATTTTTTTTAAAAACACTGGTTAAATTTACCTGTGGATTTTGATATGGACACTCAGAATATATGAAGTAAACTGAACTCAACATGTACCAAAAAAAAGATTTTCTAGCTGAGAAATTTCTTCAAAGTTATTTCCAAATTTGAAACATCCAATGAATTTGTCATAATGATAAAGAAAAGAGACTGCAAGGGTCCCCAGTAAATACATTGCCACAGTTGCTCACTGGTAAAAGGAAAAGATTGGATTAGATCTGCATGTCCTACAAACACTGGTGCCTCCTAAATGCCACACAAAGCAAAAGAGTTGTGGCCAAATAACTGCCTAATCTCTGCACACCCTCCCCCATTTGGGGAGCCTCATGTCACACACTTTGCAGTAAAAATTCTGAGAAGTTCTAGAGAGAAGCCAGCAGCTTGACTTTTTAGCCTAATATTTCCCAACCTGAACTTACATGTCCAATTTGCTTAGTTCGGGGAAGAGAATCAGATTAGCTTTGTGACCATGGCTGGTGACGAGAAATGACACCATCCCTCCCCTATGTCCTCAGCAAACTGGGTCAGGGATAAATGTGTCCCCTTGATTCTCCAGAGCTGGTCCTTTGTGCAGAGCTCCTCAGCAGCACGCATAAC